GTAATCAGAGGACCCAGTCAAATACAGGCATTTCACATATTTAGTGAAGACAAAAGCACGATGTACTATGCATTTACATCCTCTAGTCACAAGGTTGTACACTGTTGCCATTTTAAGGACCATGATACCCTCCATAATAAAGTCATTTTAAAATGAATTGGTATGGTAGCACGTGGAAACAAACAGGGGTGGAAATTAACCTTTTGGCTCACCTGCCAAGGTGGCTGGTAGATGAACAAATCCACCGGCCAAACATACAGTCCCCTCCAAAAGTATTGGAACAGTAAGGCAAATTCCATTGTTTGAAGACATTCGGGTTTAAGATCAAAAGATGAGTATGAGACAAAAGTTCAGAATTTCAGCTCTCATTTCCTGGTATTCACATCTAGAATTTTGAAATTAAGAAAGTTTGTATTAGACCACAGAATTGTTAGGTGAGCAAAAGTAATGGAACAAATAATCTAAAAGTAAATAACATTTAATATTTGGTGGCATAACCCTTGCTTGCAAAACTGCCTCAAGCCTGCGACCCATCGACATCACCAAACTGCTGCATTCTTCGTTTGTAATGCTACTCCAGGCTTTTATCACAGCTTCTTTCAGTTCTTGTTTGTTTCAGGGTGTTTTTCCCCTTCAGTCTCCTCTTAAGGAGGTGAAATGCAGCTCTATTGGGTTAAGGTCAGGTGATGGACCTTCCACTTTTCCCCCCTGATGAAGTCCTTTGTTTTGTTGGCAGTATTGCTTTGGCTCATTGTCCTGCTGCATGATAAACTTCCTCCCTATTAGTTTCAATGCATTTCTCTGTAAATTGGCAGACAAAATGTTTCTGTATACTTCTGAATTCATTAAATCATCAGCTACATCATCAATAAATATTAATGAGCCTGTTCCAGAAGCAGCCATGCACGTCCAAGCCATGACATTACCTCCACCATGCTTCACTTTGGCCTTTCCATCACTTTGCTAGAGATTAATCTTGGTCTCATCAGTCCATGAGATTGTGTTCCCAAACCTGCAGCTTATCTCTGTACTTCTTTGCAAATTTCAATCTGGCCTTCCGATTCTTCCTGCTGATGAGTGGTTTGCATCTTGTGGTGTGGCCTCTTTATTTCTGCTCTCTGAGTCTTCTTCCAACAGTGGATTGTGACACCTTCACCCCTGCACTGTGGAGGTCGTTGGTGATGTCACTGATGTTTTGGGGGTTTTATTCGCAGCTCTCACGATATTTCTGTCATCAACTACTGTTGTTTTCCTTGGCCGACCAGTTCGACGTCTGTTGCTCAGTACACCAGTAGTTTCTTTCTTTTTCAGGACGTTACAAATTGTTGTGCTTGCTATGCCCAATGTTTGTCCAATGGCTCTGGTCAATTTTCCTTCTTTTCTCAGCTTGACAATGGCTTGCTTTTCTCCCATAGACAACTCTCTGGTCTTCATGTTGGTTTATCCTCTTTTACAGGAAATGCAGTTTTTATAGGTTTGAACCAAGATTAAAACTTAGACTAGTCATGCAGAGCTATTTAATGTTTGGACAATCAACCTAAAAGGCAACACCTGGGCAACAAGAAACATCGGTCAGTCTCACATGTTCCAATAGTTTTGCTCACTTGAAAAATGGGTGGGTTTAAACAAAGGGTGGTATGTCCTGAGCTGTTTAACACATCTAGATGTGAATACCACGAAATGAGAGCTGAAATTCTGAACTCTTGTCTCATACTCATCTTTTGATCTTAAACCCAAATGTCTTCAGTGAACAACAAAAACAAAGGAATTTGCCTTACTGTTCCAATACTTTTGGAGGGGACTGTATTTTTTAGGGGCCAAAATAATAAATTTCCTTTTGTGTCACATATACATTTGTTTCCTTCCTTTTAATTGATTTAATAAGGTATTATGTCAAATACAAACTTAAAGGAGAGGTAAGAAAATTATATTATTGCTATTAAATGTAGGCCCACTTAAAACATAACACTAAATTGTTTTATAGACTTACAAGATGCTTATAAATAATTCAACTTAAATCTTATCACTGCTCACTCTTGTCATGCTTTATCACTTTCTACAATCACCCTCTTCTGGCCTCCTGGTTTTGAGTCCTGATGCCACAGCATCACAGCTTTTGTGGGATCAACATTTTTTATACAGCCTATGGATCATTCTCCTTGATCTCTGGGGAGAACAGCAGGACCATTAGAAGATCTGACAGTGTGTCAGACACTAGACTGGACCGCCAACTACCCAGCTAAAAGCTAATAACAATCCTAGATCATCTTTTGTAATTAGCTCCTAACACTAGCTTTCACGCTGCCTTATTTCACGACTGGGGGTACTGCCCCAATCTACCGGCTTGCTGCACTTTATAAATGGAGCAGATTTTATCCGCCTCTGAGCCGAGAAAGTTGGTGACAGACACGCGACAGAAAGACGGAGTGATCTGTCTGTGAAAAGCCACAGCCAGCATGCGGCAGCACACGCTTGTTCCTGTAAAGCCGGACTGCTATGTGAACGCACACATGATTGCGGGATAATGGCCTTTTCACGCGGGATAAAGCTGCAAACTTTTGTTCAGTATGAATAAGGAATGCGACATAAATGTGGATATTCTTTCCGCGCGGATCTCCCTATGAAAGCGGCTTACGTTACACTCTCACGCTTCCCTCTCGACTCCTGTGCAGTCCCGGAACGCGCACCCCTTATAAATCTAAGGCAATCAAACACAAGTTACATGAAAAGAACATAAACAACAACCAATGAAGGCCCCTAATCCGTGTGTTACACGATTTTAGGACACCTAATTCCTATAGGATACAATTCCAAGTAATACTCGGGCTGTTTACATATTTCATTTCTAGTTGAATGTGACCTCCCCCCCCCGTTTCTGTATTTACGAGGGAAATAAAGAGTAGGCTGTAGGCTTACCAATTCCAAATAATACCTGCACAATGACAAGACATCAAACTACTGTCATATTCTTTAATTATAATGAAAATACCCTGCTCAAAACTGCCGCTTCATAACATCATCATATTATTTTGACTTACTCTTACTTATGTTTAGCAAAGTTTTCTGTGTTGTCACAGTATTTCACTTTCTTTGCACACACATCACAAACACAGCGTCCTAAACAGCTAAACGACAGCCAGTTATGACTGCTTTCACAGTCAGCCTTGGTCAGTATTGAAGAACTGTAAAGGGCTGCAGCAGAAGCTCCTTCGCAGAGCCATAATGCAAGCATGACTTTGACAGGCGGAAGGAGAAGTAGTTTCTATCAACAGAGTATAATTAGACCATCCTGGTGACAGTAAGATACTTACGATAAAACACACACTCACAACAAATTACAGAGTTTAAATATCGATCCTAAAGCAGGAAACGTTGGTAGGCTATCAGAAATATCGATACTTTAGTATCGATCCGCACATCACTACTTGGTACATCGGGGACCAATATAAGTGCGACACACAACAACAAGAACACCGGTCTGCTGCTAATTACTGTCAAAAAGAAATTAAATGCCAAATCGCCAATGTGGCGGGTAGCCTTCCAACATTTGGCCGCCAAATGGAAAATTCACCCGCATTTGGCGGGTGTTAATTTTCATCCCTGTGTAGACTTTTTTCCTCAAATTATGAGCACTTGTCCTCTGGAAAAAATTTACAGTGGGTACCGTTTTGTTGTCGTTTTTAAAAACTGCACATGTGGTTATAGTTCTATAAAACTCAACAATGTCATTGTTCTAAGTGGGAAAGTTTAGTCTGACTCTTTGCTATTCTCCCACAGCGGCAAAACCCATCCCGTGTCCAGAAGCACTGGACCAGATGTGAGGATTTGTGTTGTAGTTGAGTGTTTGTTATTCTACTGTGTAACAAATCATTATCGTCTTGTCATTACACAAGTTAAACATACCGCTGTCAGAAGAGAACCAACTTCAGCGAGGCTGTCACATATAAGACAATGCAGATGGAAGTAAAGAGCTGATAGGCTGTTACCTCATGTGGGACAACACTGAATCCAACAGAATTATTTTTGGCCTCTTTTATTTTGACAAGCGGTACATTTTTACTTTTGTCAGAAACATGTATTGAACCAAGGGGGGGGGGGACGACATCTGAAAACATGCAACATCTCAGAAAGGCACAGCAGTGTGTTTGCAATCATGCAATGTTTGACCTATTCTACCCAGGAAACAGACAAGTGAATTCAGGTGAAGAATATCATCACTTCAATCAGAGTAGATACGTGAGAGCAGTTCAGAACCAGGATACTAGCATCTTTAAGTTAGAAGATACAAATTAAATGGAATATGTGAGATAATGAATGCCAGAGTTCGGCAAACTAAGCATCTCCTTCTGACCCACCTGAATCGAAAGCTCCCCAGTTTATCCAAAGTTTGTTACTGGTACTGAAGGATCTGAATACTTCTTCCACCAGTTATACCATATATAGCCTATTTATAGCTATAATTCAGTTCTTTAATTTTAATTTCATATGTGGATGAGGATTATTTTTTCATGTATTATACCCATTTGTCAAAATTAGTTGTCTTGTTTGGGTACTACTTGAGTCAGCTGTCTTTTAAGCAACTGAACTTTTATTTTTTTAAGCCAGCTAAATAGCTAAGTAAGAGTGGCAATAAGTCATCTTTTTCACATCACCCAAGGGGAAATAAGTTTATTCACTTATTCAGAGAAGATAATACCTCTCTCAAATCTGTACGTTAAATATGAAGCAGGAGATGGATAGCTTATCTTAGCATAAAAGGCAAGAGAACTCGCCTACCAGCACCTCTAAAGCTCACTAATTAACGTAGTATCAAATGAAATTCATAAATATTAAGCAATTTATCTTTTAATTGAAAAAAGCCATGACGTGTGAAAACAATATCACAAAACTTAATATTAGACCTCTGATGTGTTAATGAATGAGACAAATGCAGTCATGAATCCTTTGGACTAAGTGACAACTCTCCGCACACAGTGGCAGGAAATGACACACAAACATGGTTTTATAAAGCACAAAAAACAACAACTTTATTTACAAAAACAGACCACTGCCCCCATCCCACAAACCCCTAAATTCAGTGACTACTGAGGAATGCTATGTCTGCCTGTGGCTAAGGTTGGGGATTTACAGGACTGAGAAGAACACCACCCAGTGCAAACTTCAGTGTTCTTCCACCCACTTATTTAGTCTTTAGAGTTCAGCCGTTGCTCAGTGCCACAGTATAGCAACAACAAGTGTTGAGCCGTGGGGCCTGAGGCTCAGACTGGGTCAGCGGTTCGGCTTCTGTTTGGTTCCCAGTTGCGAGTAAGCAATATGCTTTAATGAGCCTGGGGCCAACATGTTATCAGACAGACAGGTAGGGCGAGGGGCTAACAAAGTTTTAATACCACCATCTGGGAATGTGGTATTTGCATCATAACAGATTATCCTAATTAATACACATTAAAATAACCACACCATACAAAAACATGTTTCATTTTGCTGAGATCAAAGATAGACACAAAAACACCGTCTTGCTAAATAACGGACACTAAAAATATTTTCAGCTTTAGGGGTCTTCTGTCCAGGCAACAGTCATCTCTACACATTGTGTCCATAACTAGACTTTTCTGCTTGGCCCGAGATCATAAGCCTTTGAATCAAATGCATTCACTTGCTCACAGATGACATATGATTTGGTCCAGTATGTATGTACGTACTCTGAGGGTGCAGATGACGATGCGGTTGCTCTTCACGTAATCGGGAGCATGGAAATTCTGTTCACACAGCTGTGTGTGTGTTTGAATGACGCTCATTACCGCTGTGTGTGAGAATGTGGTTCACACAGATGTACGGGTAAAAGGAGTTCAATGTGGCAACACAATCTTGCAATGTTAGAAAGCTGCTGGTTGAGGCCTCCTGTCATGTTTCCGTGAAACTGTCTGTGTCGCTGTATGTGTGATGTTTCTGCTGACAAAAGCACCGGGGAGGTGTGAAAAACAGTAACTGAGTCAGTATGTATGTATGTATGTGGGGGGATGATAGCAATACTGTTCACACAGCTATGTGGGTAATTGTTTATGCACTTCGAATACAGGCATGTGTTGGCAAGGATGAGTTGCATCATAATTGAACAATGTACGGAAATTACAAGCATGTGATATCTTGTGGTATGTTCACCGTATAACAACCTACAAGTGTCCGTCAGTCTGTGTCCTGAAAGGGGCACAGCAGGATTTGTGTGCGTGATGGTTCTAGTGAGTGTGTCTCTGTCCACCCCAGCTGTATGAAGATGTACAATTAAAAGGCATAGCGTGTGCGAATGTCCTCCAGTTTCTTTGAGACCTCGGGTGGGGTTCTATCCAGCTCTTCTGCCACACTTTTCTGCTTGTGAGGGTCCATACTGTTGAACTGCTCACACAGATCTCCGTCTATCACATTCTGGGGAGAGAAAAACAGGGAGACATGTCTGTGTGTTTTCGTGTCCTATGATCTGTTAATTTCCTTCAGATGTCTATTTCAGCACCATGGGCTATCAGAAACCAACATGTAAAAACACCTACCTTGACTGGGAAGTAGTAGGATCTAAAGCTGAGATGGTCTCTGCCGCACAGTGGAGGGAACTCAGAGCGCATATGCATCTCTAAATGCTGGAAGAAGTCGTGGTCCTGGACAAAAAGACAAACAATGGAAGGAGACACGATGAAAAAGAAGAGCAGGAGAAATGAGGAGGCCTGAAAAAGGAAGACATCTAAATATCAAATCGGACAGAGACGCTGTGTACTTTTGGGGCCACAACGATGCATCAGTCTCTTGTGACATGGTGTGTGTGTGGGGGGGGGTATTTGTATGTACCTCATGCGAGGTGAATGGGACCAGGATGCCGATGCCTCCAGACAGAGTGGTGTAGACCAGAGACTCTGAACCTCCAGGGATCAGAGTGGTTTTCTGGAGAGACAACACCGTCTCACCTACATGGTAGTTCACTACCACCTCAGCCTGGAGAGACGACAGAGGGGGGAGGGAGAGAAAAACAATCGTGTTATTGGTGTCTGGTAGGACACTTTAGCCTGACACAAACAGTTAGATGGTATGACAGATCATTCATTTCTGAATCCTGATGGCTCTTCACTACCTGATGTGACTCAGAACACAATTGGTTTCATTTCGAGCAACACACCTGTGACTTGATTTGTAAAATTATATTATTTATATAAAAGTATATAAAAACTTTACAATTCTTTAAAATTGTGCACATCCTATAATATAATGCTCAAGATTTAAATGTACTGTGAAGGAAATACACCATGTGTCAGTCATGGCTTATCCACAGTAGTGTAAAATGTCAAGAAATTAGATCATATAATAGCACATCAGATATGTTACTGAAGCCATTTCAGGTCCCAAGAGGTCCTTTCAGTTGCACGCATGCATAAAGCACACAAACAGTGGACTCTCTGCCACAGTAAGAAAGAAAACACACTGTCATCTTCTGCTTAATGAAAATTGGTCCAGACGGTCGGATCTAATCCAATAAATAAAAAACTGCTTTGCCAGTAATTGAAGGTAGTAATCAGGTTTTTCTTTACAAACGCAGCATTGGGAGCAATAAAAACTCAGTATTAGTCTGAGCAAGAATTGAATGAACCCTGGCCCCTTTATTGAACATAGAGAAGCATCTACAGTGGTGCCTTTCTGAAGTGGCTGTAATGGCTTTTTTCCCCTATCGGAGATTTTATCTCATCTTGTCCTGGTCATAAACTGTAGCCTTTAGCCTCTCTTCATTATGTTGACAATAATAAGGCACATCCATGCCGCTGTGGGGGATTCCAACACAGTGGAAATGTCACATCCGGCCAACAAAAGCTAAGCAGTTCAACACTAGACTCTCAAGATGTTTTTGTTTCCTAAGTGTTGAGAAGCTGAGGAGAGGAAGTCAGAGCAGGCTAATGTTGCCTTGGGGAAGGGAAGGAGTCCCAAAGCACTGGTCAAACACTTGCACCTGGCAGATGTGTGACTGGAAAAGCACCAAAAATAATTATTTAGCCACAATAATGTACAAGTTGTGTCTGCAGGGGAGGAATTCAACAACTAAAAGATTGTACCTGCAGTCTGGCGTGACGGCGGCAGTGTCGCACTTTGTCTTAGCCTTTGTGCTAACAGAAGAGTATTGGCCGCTTGATAAACTCATTGTGGTAAAAAATGAAGGCTTAGCAACATACATCAGTAGTAACAGTGATGCATGTAAATGTACGCTTAAGCTCAGTACATTATGAGAGAAGAAAAAAGTGTGTAATTTTTGTCAATGAAATGTCAATGAAACTTTGACTTGACCGTATGAAAATGAGACAGTTGGAAACACCATGACAAATCACCCTACCACACATGACACTTTGGGTCAAGACAGTCAAACCTTTCATTTTGCTCAACAGGCAGCTGGGTCTCCCCTGACCTTGATCTTTTGAGATATGTTAATCAAATCAAAAGTGGAATGCAATTTAATACAAGACAGCATTTAGCCAAGACATGTACGGTTAATTAAGTTCATCCAGCCAGATGTGAACACACACAAATGGATAAGGACAAACCCAGGCATCCACGCCCACATCTAAAAACAGACCGTGCATTTCCCAACTCGAAGGAAAATCTCAATCAATGTGCACGGAGGCAGAAATAGCTGACAAACACTGTGTCACAAAGACAACTGGGACCAACTCAAATGGTCTAAATTGGAGGGACTTTCCCAGTCTATCTGCTACCTAAACAGTTTCTGACCAGAATTTAAATATGGGATGTTATACTGCGTGTGTGTACACACTTGCATTGGTGACTAGGTTATACTTGTGGTCGACGGTGTTATGCAGTTTGCGTATGTGCATGTGTGTTGTGTCTGTTGGCGGGTGAAGGAGGCAGATTAGTTCATCAGGCCAAAGTTCTGCACAGACCTGACATTGTGGCCGTTCAGGAGTCTGCCTGAATCATTCATCTTGCCGGGCCTGGGCTCAGCAGAAAACATTGTTTCTTCCTGTAAGCCTGAAGCGAACATTAAAAGCCACCTTGGTTCTCTCTACATTCCTGTCGCTCTCAGTCTTACACAAACGCTAAGCAATCGACTGGTCAGACTGTACAAATTGCACAAGTAAAAGTTCAGCTGAGCAATAAAGACACTTCCTTGGATTTTCCATCATTATTAATTTTTCCTAAGTCTTAACCCTCAGCATAACCTGGACAAAACATGGTATGGCGGACTTGTTTTTCCAGGCTAATGTCAAGCTGAAGCCCTCTATTTTGCAACAACACCTGCTGGCATGACCAACTGTGAATCTTGTATTTCATTCAGGGCATATGTTGGTACCTTCAGTATATGCTAGAGATTAGATGTTTTTTAAAAGATGACAAAAAAAAGGAGCAAAATGTAGATAATTGCAACAGTGACAAACTTTCAGAAGCCTTACAGGGTGGATGGTTTGAGGAATGACGGTTTTACCTTCTGTGATGCTCCATTAAGGAGGCCTCTGTCCCATAACGCTTTGTTCCCTGTTGGGTCTTCATCCACATCGTCGCTGGTGTTGGGGGGAAGACGCACCTGAGAAAATTTAACAGAAAATGAAAACATGTATTTCTTTAGCTTGTTGGTCCTACTGGGATAGAGAAGCTTTTTTTGTGTTACGTTGATGTTTTTGAGTCCAGTGCCCAAAAAGAGGCAATTGTGTGTACACATATACTGTATATTTCATAGCATGTCCTAGTGTGTTCTTTCTGGCCATAAAATACAACAGGGACGCTAACTCATCAGGAGTGAAAAGGGTGACAAAGATCAACGTGTAGTTACATTTTTTGTCCAAGCTGCCGATCTAAACAAATTACATAAGTGGTCTATTTTGGATTCAAAACATGGAATTTGGCACAAAGGTGGAAAGTTTGCACCCCTAGTACAAGTCAGATGAACATACGCCTAACCATACTTACAATGCTGATGTTCCCAAACTTGTCAGCAGAGGCCATGGTGTCGTAGTCGAGCAGACAAGCTGTGGTCACCCAGCGGGGGTGTGTGTCATCAGCAAAGATGATGAGCTGGTTCTCGTTGCGTCTGTAACGAACCCAGAACAGGCTCTCTTGAACGTCAGTCACGATCACACGCTGGCCGATGGTATGGATGCCAGTCACCAGGTTGGGAACATGCTAAAGGGGAGAGTAAATACAATACACTCAAATCACACTACATATGTATATTTACACAAGGGAAACATACGCTGTTCTTTAGCAGCTTGATGTGCAGCACCGAGAACTGTGACCTCATCAATGCTTATTGTTAACTTGTTTATAATTATCATCCAGTCCGTCCTCGTAAATAAGAAGTTGTTCTTAAATGTCCTACCTGGTTAAATAAAAAATGTAAAAGTTATTTATTAAAACTGTTTCAGTTACAGACTTTGTATTTTTGGAACGACGTAACCAATAAGGGAGGAACCAAACAGTTTAAAGTACAACGGTCAGCTGGTGTGCAGATCCACATGATCTGTGTTCTAACTGCAGCACATATTATATGTATATCTGTATATATCTTAGTTCAAATGCAAATCAAGTATCTTGTCTACAGCTGGGCAGAGTGCTGCACACCTGTACCATCACATTTTCACCATGGTAAGCATGGTAACTAGATACCTCTGCTAAACAATATGTCTGACATAATGTCAGAACTGTTACTTCTTTACATTCTGTTGACAGTATTTTAAAATTACATTCTGTCATATTCTCCTTTAAACAATGAAACTCAGATGTCATGTATTGTCTTCACAGGAAGGAAAAACAATTATTTCAAATGAATTAAGGTTTGCATCAGTGATTTATTTCATTTCTGAAAAGGTCAATATAATACAGCTTTAATCCTATCTACAAATTAAACTGTAACTTGACTTTATTTCATCACATCAAGTTATTTAGAGAAATGTGGTTAATACAGGTAGATTTGCAATTAAGAAACCTTTTTATTCAACCATAACTACCCACAAATGTGCTTCTTGAGTTTCTTTTTCCCCCCAAAAGGGTTCCCATTTACATACCATGACCCTGCAAACGTATCACTTGGCATAGTATGCTCTTGCACTCAGGTTAGTTTATAAGAATAGTCAGGCTACTGCGGAAAATTCCCCCAAAATACACAAATGGAGTTTGGGGTTTCACTTTGTGTTTCATTATTATTAGGCTACTGCTGTCTTACATCACATACCTTTGAAACAGCATAAAAGTGAACATATTAGTGGTGGACCTAATTCACATAGTATTATATCCATTAATAATATCACAACTGTTTCTGTGGCAGCTGCTGCGTCAAGATAACAGGCAGACTCAGACTAAACCTGTTATCTAATAGAATGTTTCCCTGATCAATCAATTAGATGGGTTTCAGTTGAAAGCTGGCTTTTTAACAGTGATGCTACCTAAAGTATATCTCTAAGGATTAACAGCCATTCATCTGTTACATTTACAGTTTTGGTAATAACTTGCAGTTTTAGTTAGTCTACACAATCAGAATAAAGAAACGGAGCGCTCTCTCTCTTTCACCTGCACACACTTGACCGCCGTTATCTCTCCCCCTTCCGATTCTCCCTCACTGGTGTCACTGCGAGAACTTCTTAGGGGTTCTTCTTTTTCTGCTTTTCTGCTTCTATCTATCAAATAAATAGCTGTAGCCTGTGAAAAGTCTGCTTATCAACAGACATCTAAACGATCGTCATAACGCCTGTTCATATTATTGAGGCGTTCCTGCTTTTGTAGTCTGTGATGTTATTGATCGCCTGCCACACATCTTTGGTGTTGTTGGTCTCTCTCCAGTCTCTGCTGATGCCTCCGCTTTTAGCAGCTTTGCTTCATACACAATGTACCTGTCTATCATATTCACATCAGCAGCTCACAGAACACGAAGGGGAGCGTAGATGTGCGTGTATTTGCCTACTTACCTTGTTTTCACACTTGCGAAGCAGCTTTTTTTTGCCCAGGTCGTAGATTCTCAGCAGTTTCCCAACTCCCACCAGGACTCGTCCCTGGAATGGAGCAATGGCCAAAGGCACATCCTCTACAGGTGTCTGCCAATCAAAACACAAAGAATTAATTAACTGCAGCTAATCAGGATAATTTATATTTGTTTGAGAACAGGTTTGGAGAAATATGAGCTGTTGATGTTTAGACAGAGGTCAAATACCTCATTTTTGCAGAAGGAATACCAAACTGCAGCATTCTCGTAAAATATACTGTATTTGTAATATACTGCATTGTAACACTGTGTCCGTCACATGGCACCCACAAAGATTATATAATCATTAGGGCCTGAGCACGAAACGTGAGGGGTCCCTATTAAAACTGATGGACTTGTTCTTCTTTTTTCTGCAAAGTAACCTCAATTTTGGGGGCCTAAACATACTCGAAACTCACAGAAGTATGCACATAATTCAGACAAGGTGAAAAAAAATTGCATTTTATGGGCTTCGCACATGGGCTTGGCATAATGGCTCGCTAGCACCCCCTACAGCCCCCAGACAAGGAAGGACTTTTCTGAACACATGTACATGCCAACATTCACCCATAGTCATAGCACCACCTGCTGGCAACAGGAAGTGGACTTCAGTAAAGCAGCCCCCGTGGCGCGTTTCACATACATATATGAAATTTCTGTGGCACATGTATCACGTCCAGACGTACCAAAAAGGAACGATGCTCTAAACCCAACAGGAAGTCAGCCATTTTGAATTTTATGGTCACCATACTTTAACTCCTCCTAAAGATTTAGTCCGACCGACTTCAGATTTGTGCTGTGCGGTCTGAACCCATCCAAATTGATGATTCGCCATGAAACAGGAAGTTGTAGTAACTTCAGTGTACATGCTCACGTCTGCACTAAACTTTACTTAAGAGTCCCACCCTGATCACGTCTACAAGCCAAAATTCACCCGTAGTCACAGCGCCACCTGCTGGCAACAGGAAGTGACTACGTTTATGCTGTGATGAACCACTTCTTGTAGGTTGGCTATATGTACTTTCATTTAGCTGACACTTTTATCCAAAGCGACTTGCAATTGCTATACATGTTAGAGGTCGCACGCCTCTGGAGCAACTAGGGGTTAAGTGTCTTCCACAGGGACACAATGGTGGATGTGACGTATAACACCTTCGTTCAGCGTCCGAATAGTGTAGCAAATTCACAGCCGTATCGGCAGAGCTCCAGAATCTGCAACGCGCTCGGCTAACACCTCAACACGCTACAAGTGCGAGGGCCAGCAGACAGAAAAAAACTAAAGAAGAGACGGACCAATGTCAGCAGCGTCAAAGGGATAAAATCACCAGGTAGAGTCTTGTGAAAAGTATTGTTAAAGAATGTCCAGCCCATTATACAAAAACAAGTGCAGAGAGATGAATCATCGTCCCACTTAGATGCACCAGCCAGCATCCTCCTCACGCTCCTCAACACCAGTTCAACTGTTAGTCTGCAGCTGAAGCCGTAAGACAGATGACAAGGGGGAGAAGTTGAGGAAGGCTTAGGTTTTGCCTGCTATTTAGATATATTGAGTGTCTTATTTAAACATGTTCAACTTGTCAAAGTCGATTTACTCGTCATTGTCACTTTCGTGAACCGATCAATCACAGCCTGGATGGGGTGGGACATTAAAAAAGTTTTACGTGCTACAGTTAACTTCTGAAATGTTGAATTCATTGTTATGCATGAATGATTATGTTATTAACGAGTTTGCATTAACAAATTAGAGACTAACCATAATATAGATCACTTTTCTTGCATAGGGATTTAATGAATGAAAACAACCCCCAAAAACTGCTGTCCAACTTGAATTGATATACTGGTGGTAAGATATGTAGTACACTATTATATGAAATTAAAGTGCATATAGTAACATTATATAATAATATAAATGTATACGGTTATTTAACATTATAGTTTTTATTTAATATTATAGTTATAATTTTACTGGGTTTACTAGTTGCTCTTCCAGGTTGTGGATCTGCAGTGGACAGATGTAGATTTAGCCAGAGCCAGGATGCAACTGTGCTTATATGAGCTGCTTCTAGCCACCTACTCCTGAGAGCAACAAGCTCCCCTTGTTCTATTTCTTTTAAATAAATATTGGTTAGTAATCTTGTTTAAGTGTGGCGTAGGTTGTTTGGGTGGTGCCGGTGTATCGTGTATGTGTCCCTTTTTCGAAAACTACAAGACCTACAAGTTTTGTTTAAATGTAAAAAGCTATTTCACTATTTTAAGACCCATGCCAAGTGACCAGGGTTTTCACCTCCATGTTCCTCCAGTTTTTTTCACATCGTTATTGCACACAAGTATAAATATGTATGGAATACACTGTTTGTTAATGTACTCTAAATTTCTTACTATCACGTACTCCTTGGGGGAAAAACTTAGCTTACAGCTCTCTGTATGTGCATCAGGAAAAAAAAGTGTGTTTAGACCAGATAGATTCATCTAAAATATCTGACCTGGTTAAGTGGTTGGGAAATTCCTCTAATGTGAAATGAATTGGCTGTAAAATACAACACTCATGACTCACTTCCCTTGTTAATCCACATCAGGTGGGTTGATTGACCCGGATTGCCTCCACCCTGCTTGAGTTTCTAGGGAATTGCCCGGACAGCGGTGCATGTTGCCATGGGCATCAGCATCGGTGTTTGGTGTCATTAAAACTTTACTAGAGGCTGTTCTGCCTGGTGCACTTTGGAGGAGTAGTAATAATAATAATAATAATAATAATAATAATAATAATATTATTATTATTATTATTATTTGTAGAGCACTTTTCAAAAATAAGTTACAAAGTGCTTTAACAAGTGTAAAGACAATAATACCCAAGAGACAATAATACAAAAACAATACAAGATAAAAGCAAGAAAACATTGAAAAGACTAAAATACACATTTAAGATAAATATAAAATAAGTAAAATAGAATAAAATAAAAGGGATAAAATAAAGTCAAATAAGATCGGGAAAGGCTCTCCTATAAAAGTATGTTTTAAGAAGGGACTTAAAAGAGTTCACTGACTCAGCGACCTGATTTCCTCGGGCAGGCTGTTCCAGAGCCTCGGGGCCCTGACAGCAAACGCTCTGTCCCTTTAGTTTTCAGTCGAGACTCTGGAACAGACAACAGACCTTTGCCCGAGGATAATATAACAAGGCGAGAGGCCATGAAAAGCTTTAAAAGTGATCAATAAAATTTTAAAGTCAATTCTAAAACATACTGTACCAGGTCTTTGTGGGTTCAAAAAATAAAAATAAAAATCGTGCCCGAACCCCAGAAATGTACCTGCCGGAACCAAACCGAACCCTTCAGTTATTTGAAACATGGGACCTGGATCCATACCGAACCGAGAACCACCTGCCCTGAACCAGACCCTTCTATTACTTGAAAGCTAGGACCTTGTCAAAGTCTGCTCCACTTTGTTGCATCCAGCATAATAAAAGGTAACTTCAAATGTTTGTCCTTTTCAACAATAACGATTGCTCGTTTATTGGCAGCACTGCAAACATTAGTATTGCTAATTCGCTACCATCTGTGCTCTCCGAGACAAGTCTGACCTCAGCTTTCTGACCGTTCACCTCCTGAGAAGGGGCAATGTATCAAACCCACCTTGTGCACAAACTCCAGCTTCTCCCCTCCACTGGTTAGACGATAGGTGTAGATAAAGCCACCACTCACTGATCTGGGGTTGAGAATCATGTCTCTGGCGACACCCACAAGAACATACCAATCATCTCCAGTGTTGGGGAAACGACACACTGCAACACTGAAAAAATATCAAACACAGGAAAGGGGAGAAAAAGAAAATGTGAGGAGCTGTTGCACCATTTATTAGCAAAGAATTGAACAAGATAGAGAATTGTCAATAAAAGATAAAAGATGTCCTACACAGAAATGAAACTACAGCTACATTGGAGGGTGACCACTTTCAATTTTCCTGAATTCAAAATATCTATATGTAATATTATCATGTAGAATAAAACTTAACTGACCTTGTCAAAAATGTTTATGGCAAGTTCAATTCAATCAAACAAAACTGGTGAAGTGTGAAGGAAAACTACATGACAGAGATTAAAAGGTCTCCTACCTACTATAACTGTTAATATGAGCCAAAAAGCTGCAACTAAATAATTCACTATGGCGGTGTTTACTGTTAAAACTGTGTTTACTTTGCTTGCAGTTACTGCATTAAGGCAAGAGGACAACCCAACTCTATTAAACACCCTCTCTTTCTTAAAGTACAAACAAGTTCTCGCTTCTGAATTATGCAATCAATCACCGGATGACAGAAAATATGACATTTTAAAAAGATCCTCTGTTCTGCTTCGACAGCCCATGACATTTTTCTATGGCAACTGCTGGTTAAATTCAGTTGGTTAGGATACACCCTGGCTAAAATTAATGCTGGGAGTTTTGGAGGCTGATTAATGTCAAAGGCGTAATAAACAGGAAACGGTCCAGGGTCAGACTCTGGACATCATTACCTCATTTACCCGCACCACACCCACACTACCTAAAAACAATGTCAGATGAAGCCTTTACTTCAACATTAAGTGCAGAGTCTACAGTTTCACTTTTTACATTTGCCCTTTCTAATCCCAACTCCCAATGGCTTCACTCTCTTTAATTCGCTTCCTTCCTGTTTAAAAATCATTTCAAGGTTCACTACAGCCATCTGTAAACAAACACCCCCACTCAATAAACAGAAGTCTGAACTCTGGCTAAGTGTCACAGTTTTATCATGTCAACCGACCAACTTGCTTGTTTATTTCAACTCTTTCATAATCTCAGATGTTCTGCTTCAGACGTCTCAGAATTACATCAGACCTACAGTAGGGATGGGTATCGTTAGGATTTCATTGATACTACATCGTATACTAGTATACCATACTCCTTCTGGTTCTTTTTTTTTTTTTTAAATCACTGTGGAAAAATAACTTGATAACAGAAATTTAACAAAAATCAAATATTTTAAGGCCCGTGCCGAGTATCCAGATACTAGGGGCTTCACTTCCATAATCCTCCACATCATCATTGCACACAAGGAGAAGGAGCACACACATAGTATAAATGTATAAGTTGTTTGTTAATAAACCCTGTATTACTTTAATATATTTTTACTGTGCTCCTTGGGGAAAGCATTAGCATAGAGTCTTGAATTTGCAAAATTAAGTTCAAAGAGTTTCAAGTACTTTTTAAAAGAGGATTCTTTTCATTTTCAACGACTTCACTCAAAGCAAATAATTCATTTTCAAAGTCACAGTCTTAAGATGCATAGAATTATGTAATGGTTTTGTAACGGAGCATCCTGGGTTTGTTAAACTTCTAAACAAAGTTGTAAATTCAAACATTGTTGTAAAATCGACATGTTTGGAGAAACTCACAAAGGCTGAAATTCTAAATTATTCATTAATACACTTGATGTTGTCTATTTCTAAATCTCAGCCTGCATGTCTCAGTCAAAGATGTGGCTACTCAGCAGGGTAATGTTAGGCATGGAGCTGAATTTATTCATTTCCCAACTGTTACTGAATTTAATTCTAACAAATAACCAGTATCATGTTCAATTTAAATTTGAACAAACTAGATTTCATGAAAATTGGTTCAGAATTAAGAGTCACAGTCGATTTGGTAGTGAAGTGCACCTCTCAATACACAGCGGCTCTTTACCCCCTTCAATATGTCAAAATGCAAAGAGCTGATGCGGCGAACATAACTAAAACAGGGATTTATTCACATGCCTAACCTGACTATTGGTACCACATCAGTGGCCTGTACTATGAAGTGAGGTAACTGGCTTATCCAGGTAACTTCAAGAGTAACTTTGTGTCGTCGGGTGTAACTTCCTGATTAACCCATACTACGAAAGGTGGATAGGTGTTAACCGAGGTCTGTTGCCATGGCAATTCACCTTGCATCTCTAAACCGCTCCGAGCAGGTTTTGTTCATGGTTAACTCGAGGTTATCCTGTATACGTGGACTACACACCACATCTGTACTCAGTAGGCTATTAATATGCTACCACTTGATAAAATATTTTTAGATTTCATACCGATTTGGTCCACTGCGGTTGCAGCTGAAATTAATTAGTTAGTTATTTTTAACACAACAGCATTACGTTCATTCAGCGAGCTCTGCAGCCCTCTGTGATTTTAGATAGGAAATCTTAATTAACAGGCCAGTTTCTTAGATGCAGCTTATCTGTAGGCTATAATTGAATTCTCCTAAACGCTTTCACATATTTAGATTGACTATTTTACGTGTCCAAAAAAATACAGAGCCAGGGTGGGGGTTAATAAACAGAGAGAGAAAAAGAAAAGATGTAGTAGTAAATTTACAAGAACAAAATTTCTGAAATTAAAAGTCACAAAAAATCCAAATCACTCTGTTGAAAACAACAGAATATATTCTGAATATGCCCAATCCATGGCCAAGTCTCTAAGGTCCATGATTAAATGCTAAACTTACGAGTATTTCCTCACTGCTAAATCCGATTGTGAAGTCTAATATAATTTCCCACTGCATGCATAATACACAGCAGACGTGTTTGTGATGTTGCAGCCTTCAAAGTGAAGCGATGTGTTTAGAAAAAAACAACACTATTTCACAAAGAGTTTCTCTCATAAATGACTACAATGTCAGAGTATTCTAGTGTTTAACTTGTAGATTTTTGATCATTAGTTTCTCGTAATCTACCATATTAGCATTTTTCTATTAAAATGGACATAATATACAGTTGTACCTTTAAATCCTGATCATACTACACATAATAATCGTCCATAAAATACAAAATCTAATATTAACCTACAATAAGAACACGATAATGATGATTACAAATGTACTCAATGCGATGCCAACAAGCCTCCCTGACTTTGTCAGCCGCCACAATATTAGATTTGGCCGTTAACTTCTCTTTACATTCATGATATCCTGACACAATCAATGTGAATTTTTCTGGGGAAAATACGGAGAATGCGCCGTTGCGAAAAACTGCCTGCACGGCCGAACACACCCCTTTATGTGAATTAATCTGCAGATGCTCCGGTTCTATGAATTCCTTTTTTTGAGTCATGGCAAAGACCAAAATGTGGCCTGCAACAGACTAGGTAAGCCTTGTTCTAGCCTAGCAGTTGTTAATAACAACTGTGGGGACTAACAGCAAATTTATTATAATGACTTGATGAACAAAACTTTGGTCAAACTTTTGTTTCCGGTTTGATTCACACCCTTTCCGTTTTGCTATCAATGTATCTGTTCATCCATTCCTCACCTGAATGCAGCTTCGTTCTGTTCCAGCTGCACCTGGTCCAGTGTTGAACCCTGTATGGGGTTGACGAGACGCACCAGCGAGGCCCACTGTCCTGCTCCAGCTTTAGGTGAACCAAAAATGGCTTCAGAGAGATTCTCGTTGAGGAAGGCAGCAGCCATCTCAGCAGCCAGTTCTCGTTCATCCTCGCCAGCAGCCTCCACCATCTCCTGCAGAAGCAACAGAGAAAAAAGCAGGTCAGCTCAAGGGATAGCATTGCATTTTATATATATATACACACATATTTTCCCCTTTACCGGGTGACTGAAACATTCAGTGGGATGTATTGAACCAAAGCCCACTACAACCAGTACAGTGAGTGGTTTCCTGTCTTCATGGAGGACCTGAGTGAGTTCCACTCATGGGGAAATTTGTTTTTATCAACATAATATACCTCGCTCACAGCATTTTATTTGTAAGAGCATGTTCTGGTGTCCTCCGATGTGGACTACCACAGAGTATAAATATTAGTGCTTAGTGGCCTCTTCCCTACTGATAATGCACATAAGGGCTTATGGAATAAAATGCAGGAGTCGAGTATGAATCGAATAGTAGAAAAATGTATGGCAGAAAGCCCACAGAGATCTCTACTCCTGACCATTTAAGAAGCGAGATGTGGAAAGTTTGGGGATTTTTGACAACAAATGGAAAATATAGATATATATAAAGATATAATTATCTGCAGAATATGCAAGATTCAAATGAAATATCACTCAAGAACTAGTAACCTCAGGGCACACCTAATAACACTACACCCTGAAAAGCTAGGCGATCTATAGTCAGAGGAACCAGGCGAGAATGACTTCTTTTTTGCCTCCCTCCAGATTGTAAATGTTAATTAAAGTTGACATTATTTATTTTGTGCCTAAGCTTAATTTATTACTTAGCAAAAAAAAAACTATCACCTATTGGCAATTTCACATTTTTATTGGTAATGTTTGAATACGCTCTAGTGGACAGAACGTATAACAACCACATGCTGATGGTGGTTTTGGTCGATCTATACAATGTATAGGTACATAGTAAATATTAATAGGCTAAATTTGAGCATTTGACATTTCATAGAATAAAAAAAATTATCAAGTAATAGAGAAAATAGCTGGCAGATTCATCTATAATGAAAATAATCATTAATTGCAGTCCTAATGTATACAGGTATGATCCTCCCATGAATCTTCCGTAGCTATAGCAATATAAAGCCAATTTCAATGAAACTGACATCCAAAAGCAATATAGCATCAGAGACAATCACAGACGTCAGTAAACACAGCATATCTCAAAATCCCTGTTCTCTGTTTTTAGGCACAAGGTAAGTATAGTCCTAAACGGGCAGGCCTAAGCCTGCTCCACAGGAAACTCAAAGGATACTGATAGTTTCCCAGGAGACACAGTAAAAGGTACAGCAAACTGTACTTATTAGGTATTTCTTTCTAAACAGATCTAAACAACACATCCTCTCGCTGCTCTAATAAATGTATTACTGTCAGGGACCTGAAGCAGATTTCAGCTTTGCCCGTAGGATCAGTTTGCACTTTATACCTCAGCCATTTGTTGCTTTCGTTGAGCTTTGGTTGCTTCAGTGTAGGCATTGTGGTCAGTCTCGATCACGATGAGGTTGTTGGTCTCCGGGTGGATTACAAATTTCCTGGGAGTGTACTGCAGAGGAAAGGCCACCTGGTTGAAGACGGCTCCTAATTTCTCCAAAGCCAAGATTCTGGCAGAAAGATAATAAGAACAGAAAAGAGGAGAGACAGTTACAAACCATTTTTAACTTGAGGGGTACACAACAGAGTTCTGAGCTGTTCTCTAAGTCCCGCATGTCAGCCCATCACTAACAAGTTTTACTTATTCCTACTCCTTTTCGCACATGAGGTATGTTAACACAGGAAAGAAGGGTACTTTTGCTGCTCATCTGTTGTTGTTTTTTCTCCTATTTTTTTAAACATCGTTTTATTTACTTTCTCGTGCATGTTTGAAATAAAGATTTAAATTCTACAAAACTAGATGGATTTGTCGCACACTTTTTATATACAGTCTATGTTTCGTACATCAGGCAATGTGGTGCATTTATTATATAGATTTTATTGTCTCCGATCCACATTTGTCTAAAAAACAGACTACTGCTGTACAACTGATGTAACTGTTCACATTTTTGATGATTGTTGTGTTCACCATTAGTCTCTACCACTTTCAGAAACGTATAAGAGAAAACAAAAGCTGCCGAGCTGGACATGTGACAGTTCTTGTGGTGTCCACATGGTATGTCCCGAGGCCTGATGCATATTAATATTTGGAGGGTGATGCAGCACATGGAGAATGGCTAAAAATAATTTTCAAATTCATAAAATTCAAACCCGGATGCAAACTCATCCGGGGGGAATAAGGTGACAAAGAAATCCCTAGGGGAGTCCGGGGTCAAATCCAAAAACCAATAGTTTAATTACGTCGTGGTTATGACAATATGAGCGTTGCTAAGATTATCTTAGCATAAAGAAAATGGAACAATCAGGGATCTAACATTAACATGAAGTTGGCACTTTGACTGAGGAGTGCAACTTGGGTTGTTTAACATGTAGCTCCAGAGCTCTAACATCAGTGACGTTATACATGTAGAACGTGGAATCACAATTACACAACATTAGACTCCATATAAATAACAGGCAGTCAAAAACATTTTCTTCAGAAGGTGTGGTTCTCAATTATTACTTGTGCCCTCGCAGCTCTAACAGTCACAATGTGTATCCATACCTCAGTGTGTTGGTAGAAATGGCCACTATGCCTTCAGGGCATTGCTCTGAGGCAAAGCCAGAGGCGTACTCCAGAGTCTCATATGACAGGGGCGTCAGATGGAAGCGAGACTGGTACGAGTAGCTGAGCCAGGAGCGACTGGACATTGCCAACACCTGTGAGGGAGAAGAGATACAAACAATATTGGATTAATCTCATTATTTTTCTTCAAAATGTCAACAATGACAAATCCCTACAGGTTCTTACAGCATAAAATGTTCCGTTAAGATTGCTCACTTCATACTTGTTTGAGAGCAAAGAAATGCAGCATTTTGCAATTAAGCCTGATTTATATTAGTATTATTAGCATATTTTCATGTGTATTGATTATATATAAATGTTTGAGTGACATACAGCTTCCTGTCCCTGCATCCTGACTCTGAAGAGTTTAACAGGTCGTGACCCCAGGTAGCGTGTTCTGGTATCTGACAGGTCCCCTGATACTTGGTCCAGCACAGTCCTAAGCAGCACACCGTTCTGAGAACACACAGACAGACAACGTAACAGATGATATAGCATGATATTTATTCAAAAACACTAAACCTCTGCTCTGGGTTTGAGGTAACTGTTTGGTTGACTTATTTTTAATAATTACTTGTTATAATTTGCTATATTGAGTTGTAATGTTCTTCCTGAATGACTTGATTTTGATGACTTTTACACCGATATCTCCAAACATGTTTGTGTTCCATATTTCTTTACTATTAATTCATGAAGTATGCACATTTCTCAGCATTTTCCTCTTGGATCTACCACTTAGCACAAAATCAATCTGAGCCAATGCTAACATATGCAGGAGCTATGACCTATGTGTGCTTTACAGGGATGAGATTTAAAAGGAACATTTCTGAAATCAGTTTGGCTAGTGTGAAAGAATACCTGTAACCCTATGTTGAGGTAGAGGAAGCCGATGGTTCCCTTCTCTCCAAGTTCATCCTGTTTCTCGACCCCTCCCATCTCAACAATACAAAGACTCTCTGGCTGGGCTGGAAGAGCCTGCATGCTCAGCGGCTGTAGGCAGTCCTGAACATGATACAGATTCAGAGAGTGAAGACCAAATCAACAGACGTTTCAAACATACAAAACAGTCTCACTGAAGTGTATATACACACACAAATATGTAAATGAGAGGTCCTCTTCATGTAAAACAAACATTTAGTGATATGGACATTAAAAGTCAACCATTTACTTGCTTTGTTAATTTAAAATTTTGTTAGATTAAGAAAGGAAAGGAAGGGGCATGTAAGGCAGTATAGGGCCTGGGCTGTAATTGAATCCAGGCCGCTGCAGTAAGGGCTTAGTAAACAGTGTGCACTCTACCAGGTGAGCTACCGGGGCGCCCCGTGTGCTTTAGGGTTAATATTCAAAGTTGATTGGAGCTTTTAGGACAATCAGTAATCAGTGAATGTCAGCACTGATTCCACCTCATCACAGGTGGAGGAATCACAGAGAAGATGATTTGCATTTGCTTTTTTACTGAAATATTAATACCTTACAAGCAGGGTCCAAAATGAAATTTTAAGCTCATCTGCCAATGGCAGGCAAACTGGGCATAAAACTGCATCATGTATTATTTGACAAAAAGTTTTTAATGCGCAAACTCATCTTTAGCATCACTTTAAAGAGAGAATTATGAATAAATATCAGATTTAGGGATGGGATTGTTAATTTTTATTGATATTGAAACCATTATTGAGACTGCTTAATGATCCAATTCTTCATTGATACTTAGCTACTGTTTGGTGACGGTTATTTGGTAAGACGAGATCCAAAGAGCATGAGTTAGGGCTGCACGGTATGAGAAAAATATTCAATGTGCAATAACATTGTTAAATATCGAGATGACATATGACTTGTAATAAATAAACAAATATTGAAGTGTGCATATTAGCTGCCTGGTTGTTTTTAAAATTAATTATAGGATTAGAATTTAATATTTTAAATACAACTGTTGTTTCTAGAGCAGCAACATCAATGTTTACAACAGCAACGTCACTATATAAAGTCAATATGTGACATCACAATAGTGAGTGACGTTTAGAAAGAATGAAGAACTCAGTCAGCATCTTCTCACTGCCTGCCAGTAACGTTACCTGGTAGGAGAAGGAGCGGCTGGTTTGTCTCAGCCAGCAGCTGAGTTTTTAACAATGTGGCAAATTTTAAGACTACAGACCAGTCTACAGACAGTTTTCTATTTAGCTTGTTTGAAACATTTGGCTTATGCCAAGCTAACGTTAACTGTGCTTATATAAAACATACAGATGAGAGATTGAGGACAGAGCAGTTTAAATGAACCCTTCCACATGTTTACCTTACAGACAGGTGTACTGATAAAGTATTGTCTTTTTAAACGCGAAGGTTTTATTGCACACTTAACAATCAACTTGAGTAGTTTGGAGCTAACAGCTAGCAGCCTCTCGCTCTGCTGCCGTGTGTGTGTGTGTGTGTGTGTGTGTGTTCGTTCAGGAGCCGACAGAGAGCAGGCAGAGGCCTTTTAGAACCGGGTATCGATTCCCATCCCTAATCATATTTACAAAAAAAAGAAGAAAAAAAAACTATCAATAAATGAGCTCTGTGCCCGTGCTTAAAACACAGAGTCCGCTGGAGCTTGCCAGTCACTTCCTGTGTGTGTTAGCAGTGTTGTAGCTGAGCCAGCAGCTCCCTTCCCTCCCTGCGTTTGTGTCTGCGAGCGAGTGTCAGTATGTAGCTATAGCCCTGTTTATAATGCTGATGTTACAGTTAGCCACTGTTCAGATATTTATACTTGACATTGCACACAAGTTATTACTTGCCACATTCTTAAAATATAGAAAGGAATCAATCAAAACTTACAACATCACTGTCACAACTAGGAATATAGCTTTTCTTACTGCCTTCAGGACCTTACAAGAACAGTTTCTTGTAAGAAACAACATTTTACAACATATTATATTCTTTAATTAATTCTGTAATTTTACACTTGAAAAAGTGACAAATATATTCTTTTTTCTCCCATTTTCAGATAATTATTCAGCTTATTTAAAAACAAAACTCAAACACAAAGTACTACTTTTGTTGATAAATTGAGGTAAATACACGCCCTCCCCAACCGTGTCCACAACTTGTAACGTAATAGGCTAACAAGTTTCTTAAGCGAGTGAACACATGCCTATATCCTTTAAAAAACGACCACTAATTTGGGTTTTCATGTGTCAGGGTGTCATTATTGGTTTCTGTGCTGAAGGGTCCATTTCATTTACAAACTAGTGTTTCTGTTCATACCGTAGGGTCCAGGGAGATGATTCGGACAGTGTTGTCAACCAGTCCCACGGCCAGGAATCTCGAGCGCTGCTCACCAGGTGGAACGTTAGCCAGGCTCATACAAACCACATCAGCAGACATCTCCTTGCGCTCTGTGTACTCATTCAGCTGGCCAGACTACAGAGAGAAAGACATAGGAGACAAAATGAGAACACACACACACTTACCGTTTTATTTATTTATTTTATTTTAATATATTTTTATTTTTTACACACACACACACACACACACACACACACACACACACACTATATTTTATTTATTTATTTTATTTTGATTTTTAACATTTTTATTTTCTTTTTTTAAACACAAATACAAATACACTTTGATTACTTTACGCTTTAATTGTTTAATGAAATGTATGGGGCTGATTGTTCTTATGTTGTGTATATATGATGCTTTGGCAATGTTATTACATTCATGCCAATAAAGCTAATTTGAATTGAATGAGAAACAGTATTACTAAACAGATATTCAGTCATCTCTGTTGTATTTAGGGTTGGGTACCAATATGTCCAGTACCTACAAGAACCAATTAGAACGCAAGTTTCGGTGCCACTTACATGTGTCGATATAACTATTTCCCCTCTGGTGCTCCGAAACGGACGCAAGAAGCTTCATCACTATTCACCGCAGTACTAAATGTAGCGTCCCTCAATTGGTCTTTATTAATGCTGAAACAATGCTGGCTACTGTGGGCTGTAGCGGACGCCAAAGAAACAAAAATGGCTCAACAGAGAGCTACATGTGTGGACTTCTCTGGCTCCTCACCTGTCCCTCTGCTAACACACACACACACACACACACGCAATAAAAAGCCCTTTCTGCCTTAGCCGAATACAAAAGTCATAACAGTGCAGTGTTTCCCACAGAATGACAGTGTAACTGTCGCGCACGGCGGGGGTGCGTCTATTACAGCACAAGAGACTGATATAGTTTTGGTCTTGAATATTAGTTTCAGTCACATTTAAATTTGTCACTTTCTCTGCAGTAAATATAAATAAAATACAGTGTATAGTACAAAATGTAGTTTGAGGTCAACTAAAATCATTTAGAGATTCAATTTTTCCACATTTTGAGCTCTGTGACTTGTTCAATATGAGAATCAGAATCAGAAAAGGCTTTATTGTCAAGAAGTACTTTAATTGTTAAGTATTATAAAACGGTTAGCTCAAACCAAGCAATCTGATTGGTTTATAGCAGTGATATAATGAGCGTATATAACGGGTATGACGTTGAATTCATTTGGCACAGATCCGTATCACTCCACAACAAACAGGGTTGGAGTTATAATCTGAGCTTTGTGTGTGTGGGGGGGGTCACGCTCCATTTACACCTGGTATTAAAACGCCATCTGATACAGATCGCATGTTACCGGCGGTGATTATTATATAATATATATATATGAATGTGTGTGTGTGTGAGTGAGTGGCTTTTTACATGATTCAACATTTCTCTCTCTCACACACAAACACACTCAGCAGTCCACTACTAGCCCCAGATGTCTGCGATATTGCAACAAAGTTTAAGTTTCAATAAAGTCAAATATATAAAGTGTATATTTATATATAAAATACATAAATATGGATTAAACCAATGCTAAAATTTTACTTTTTGTCAAGAAGAGACATTTCCTGAGGAAATATTTCATTTCAATAAGCAGATCTGATATATGCAAGTGCGCACAAACATACACGCAAAAACATCTATTTTCTTACCGGGTCCATCTCAAAGTAGACCAGCTCCCCTCCAGTCAGCGCAATAACAACCTGTCGCTGGTTCACAGCGCAGCGGACGATGGTTTTTTTGCCAGGAGTCTTCCACTCATTCACACGCTTGTCTGCTCGAATGTGGCGGATGCCATCTGGGTACACCTGTACGGAGAAGCAGTTTGGTTTAATTGTTAATATTATTTTGCATTTCCTATTTTCTTATTCCAACATAATATCTACTTTAGTTAACTGTCACAGATACAGCGGGGTAAACAGCATCATACATTTAAATATCTCCTGAAGATAATTAAGGCCAAAGATCTGATAGTAATTTGTGTAAAACATGTAATAATTGTAAGGGCAGAAAATTGTTTTATTCTTTACTTATAATCCTTTATGAAAGTACTTATAAGAGTGCTATTTTTCTCCTTTATTATGTCTTATATATTGTTTTAAATCTTTAACCTGTTCCCTTTTTATTATTGTTCTTGTTATTCCAGTCTGTCCACATGTGTGGGGTTTAGGTCAGGGATGTGGGGTTGCTGATTGTTTTCCTCACTAGCTGTTCTTCTCCTTCCTTGACTGATCCCAGTCAAGGATCTTTTGTTCTCCAAAACATAGATGCTCAGACTGTGTAAATGATCATGCAGCCCTTTGCTCTGGGCCAGACGTTAGTGACTGTCTTAGAAGACAGAATCTCTGGTCCAGCTGATTTTGTTGTGGTACTTCTCTGTTTATTCTCTTTTGTTAAATAAATTCTTCAAAGACAACGGTTCATTGTAACTCAATTATTTGCTCAACCTCTCACCAGGAATATAATTTTCACGACAATAATGATGGTCAAGACTGCTGGTATGCAACGGTCTTATTTAATACAATTTTTAGGTACTTGTCTAGTATATTCCCAGGTATGAATGAAGGTGTTAAAGGTACATTTCCCCCACCTGCACCAGGGCATCTTCTCCAAGCAGTGAGCAGGAGAGAGTAGGTGTTGTGCCCAGAAATCCAGAATCTGTCACTTCCTCTACAGTCTCCCCGATGGACAGGACCAGGGTGGCGTTCACGAATGATACAATGATGTAGGCATCAAACTCATCTAGCAACAAAAGGAGAAGAGTCCAACAAAGAAAAATAAGCACTGATTAGAAAAACAATGCTGTTGTGCTATTAAAAGTATAATTCACAACATTAAAGGCTTGGAATACACACCTAACGTTGGGTGACATTTATGCTCTAAAAATTCTTCTCATGCATTTACCTCAGTACATGTTTCCATTTATTCTCCTATGTAATAAATACATTTAGGGCTGAAACGATTCATCGATTAAAATCAATTGCAAAGAATTTGCATCTATGCTTTTTAGTAATCTTTTCTTTTGCCATGCCAAGCAAAAGTACTTCTTAAATGATGCATCGATGAAATAATCTGCAAAAGCTTCGAGTACTAAAATCAAAGTTAGCTGCAGCCCTAAATACATTAAAGCTCAGTAGCTCATGTTTGGGGTTCCTTTTTTGCCTTAGTTTGAGTTACAAAAAAACCCTTAAGTCCCTGGCTGCAATGTTTTTTCTATATTCATTGAGCAAATGAAATGCTTAGTAATTATTAGGTTTACCAACTGGTAGATTTTTTTAATATAAACATCTAAAAAGGGAAGCTCAAGCTTGCTGTGAGTGGGACTGTGAGCTGCACTTTAATCGGAGCTGCGGAGGATTTGTGTTGAGATTTCAGTCTGATCAGAAGGGTTTTCAAGTATTCACTTCAGCAGAGTATAGGGCAGTCATTAAATAATGAGGTTCTTTTAAAAATATTACATATTTTTTCTTGATATGTCAGAAAACACTGGGAGAGATTTTGAATGTGCAGTAAGTTTTTAACATGAACAGAAAACCTGCTGAAACACAGGAGCTATTAAAGTACAAGAGTTTATAACTGAAATAAAATTAATTAATTTGTCACTGAGGTGAAAAGGTGCCACAATCAAACAAAGCACTGCTGTGCTGACTCAGCAGAGATTATATTATATATGATCTAAAGGAGAAACATCTGAAAGCAAAACAGATTATAACAGAATAAAATGCAGGCATTTTTATATTTTAAACTTCCACCTTTAGTTCTTCCCTTTTATAAATAAAAAATTATACCATAAATTGGTGCAGAAAACTTCAACAGAATGCTCAAAATGTTCATATAATTCAGCATTGAAGATTTCTTAAAAATTGTGTTAAAATCTTCTCTGTATCTTGTGAACCCATTATTGTGTCTCATCTCGTCTCGTAACAACCCTAGTAATTATACAATTTTACAGAAAGGATTAAATAAATATGCTTCCACATAACTAGGACTGAACGGTTTGGGGAAAAAATGGAATTGCAATTTTTCAGCCAGATATTGCGATTATCATTCAATTTGCGAGTATTATTTTTTTAAAGTTGATATTCACTGCCAGTCTATTTTTGATGGAAGCCGCGACAAGCAGCACAGAGCAGATGAACCGAGCAGGAAGTCAGACACAGAACGGCAGTCAATTTTCAAATTAAAACACCCTGTGCAGACTCCTAGTCGTATATATCAACAATAAACACGGTTAAAACAGACAAAAAACAATTAATTACGTAGCCTACTTAACCATGGTAGATGCACAAAAAGTAAGGACAACTGAACAAATTAACAAAATCTGAACAACTCAGCAAAATCAGTAGGATGTTTAGCCTGCACAGAGCGGAATGAAACACAGAGATCTGTTCTCCGTAGTTGAAGCACACAAAACGACAAATTAACGACACGTCAACAACATAGGGCAGGCTAAAGGCTCCGCTGCTGAAACACTTCAGTGTGAGTTGATGCTAAGGCTGAAACGATTCATCGATTAAATCGATTACTAAAATGCATCAACACAAATTCTTTGCATCGAGGTTTCGTTCAATCCATATAACTATATAGCACACTGTTTCGCACGGACATTTTTACTGTCACACACATAGCGCTTACACTGTGTGAACACGACGTGATTATGATGGCGCTGTTGGAGGAAGTGGAGGAAGAGAGAGAAAATAGCGAGGGATGAAGAAGAAAGTGTCCAAAGTATGGGATTCTTTCAAGCCAAAATAAAACAACAACTCTGTAATACCCTCCGTCCACTGTAAAACAAAACTGTCGCCTCGGCAACAGCACGACGGCACCTGATCAGAAAGCACCCGGTGTTCTGCCAGCAGACCACAGACAAGGTAACAGTAACTTCAGCATTTAACTGAAATCATGCCAAGCAAAAGTACTTCTTAAACGAAGCATTGATAAATCGATGAAATAATCTACAGAAGCTTCCGAGTAATTAAATGATCGCAGCAGCCTTAGTTGAGGCCGAACACACACTTCCTTTACTTACGAGACAGAAAACAAACAAGAAGGTATTTCCTCTACGGGAGAATTAAGCAGCGCTGATTAAATACAAGGCTTTAAGATAAACAGTCAATGCCATGAACGTCATTCTGAAACTAGCCGTTTTCCCCTGTTTTTTTACACATGTACACTCGAGTCTAATCTCTGCCAACTGTGGTGGAGCAATGTATCGGTCTACACATCTTGAAATCAAGTTTATTTATATAGCATGTTTAAAGTGCTGTCCAAATTAAAGTGAGTGCAAAACATAATAGAAATGACAGGATGAAAATAAAGATCAAAGGCCATTACGAGTGTTGTCTTAAAAGTGTCAATGGAGGAGGAAAGATTTAATCAAAAGCAGAATGCTAATCCAAAACTTTGGAGCTTCCACTGCAAAGGCACGATCTCCCTTACCCCACTAGCCTCAATTGGGGGGGAACAGTTAAAAACAACTGTTCTGGCGATCTAAGAGGCCTGGAGTATCGGAACAGAAGATCTTAAATGTACGGGGTGCCAGCCCCTTCACTTCCATTTACCAAACGGAAGCGCTAGACTAAAACAAAAAGAGGTCCGCATGTAAAATTCTTAACAAGTAGGGACTAAATAATGAAAACAGACCAAACATTTTCAAAACAGATTACCTTAATTAAAAGGCACAATCTGTAATCCAAATGTAAACATAAACAAAATGAAAATCACTTTACCAAAAGTTAACAAGCCCATGTTGATTCAGTGGTAAATTCACAGTGCTACACACATAACAACAACTATGGGTGCTGTTGAAAGGTTTGTAGACACAGCACAGTGAAATTCATTCATTCTGACAGCCTCAACGTGAACAGTCAGAAAGTCTATCATTCCCAGTCCTCCCCATAAATCCCAGCCTCTTAACTGGCTGTAAGCTGACACTGTGAATTTGGTTGATTGGGGAAAAGGTTCTCTCAAACAGGAAATTTCTTACCTTCTACATGTCTGCGTACTGTCCACACAGCGTTAGGGTTACCGGGCAGCTCAGACACAGCCATCTCTGAAACCTGATAGAAACGGAAGGAAGGAAGAGAAAAGAACATTTTATCATGACTCTGTAAGGGCAAAGGATGTTCCCTGCTTCATGCAAACTACAAGAATATGGATTATACACAGGTATCACAGTATTAGGGCTGACCCAAATGCTTCAAAGCTTCTACCGCTGTCATTATTAAGTCGATGCCAACGTTCTGAAAACATGGCATTACTCGCTATATGTTGTAGTGCTAATTTAGGCAGATGCTTCACAGCTTTGGTCAACTCAGAATCACCCAATATACAATGCAGTTTGCAGCGCAAAGAAACAAGTGTTTGGAGTTAAGGACAGTCATTTCAAACTTCAATCACTTGTTTTTCAACATAAAAACATCTAAACCCTGCTAATACAGAATTACTCAAATGTCCAATGACTCTGACCTATAATCATTATCATGCAAGTGCATTTTGATAGAGTACAACCCTGGAGAAAACACACCTTCTCTGAAAGCCCTGCTGCAGGATTATGTGTGTAACCTCACAGGTGGGATCTGTATTCATCAGACTAAAAATGTCAACAGATAGAGAACCAGAAATGGCATCCAACCAGTGCAATACCAGTTATCGTGTGGCGCATGGTATAAAAAATAAAAATAAATTCTTTGTTTGTGCTGAAATCAGAGTGATTTACAGAATCTTCAGCTTTAATTCAGAGAAGAGACATGAACTAACTCATCACTTTTCAGCCAACATAGTGTCTGTGTGTGTGTGTGTGTGTACATGCTCTTGCCTGCATGCAATGTTGTTGTTGTGTGTATGTACCTCCAATCCATGTCTAAGAACCCTCAAAGTAGACCGCGGTCCTCGTCCACAGGCGACATACAACTGTGGTGTATCTTCATTGGCCAAATCAGCAATCTGTCAAAAACAGGAAGAGAAGGAGACAATGAACCACAAGGAATTGCACTGTTTTTAGAGCAATACAGCTGGGAGGTTCAGTTGTATGGACATAGTGCACAGAAACACACTGACCTGACAGGACATGATGGGTGATAAGTTCTCCTGTTCGTCCACCAGCACAAGGTTCTTGAGGGGACGGGGTTGGAAGAAGAAGGTGTCTCCCTCTTCCAGCGGCATTGCAGAGGAGAACTCAGGCTCCTCGTCATCATCACCCAAATGGGCGATCTGGTAAAGGTAACTAAAGGAAACAAAAAAAGGGTAGAACATCATCTTCTGAAGGTTTTCTAAGCCCAGAAAGAGAGGTTCAAAAAGGTTATGGTGGTATTCTGTCAAAGGTAAGACAAATGACTTACTGGTTTCCAAACTCAGAAGACACAAACAAGAAGCCAGTCTTCAGGACGCACATGGCTGTTGCCACAGGGATCGTGTCAAAGTATTTCAGCCTGATTTCTGTGACCTGAGAACAAACACAGACCACTTTTAAACATACATTTTTGTGCTGAAACATTTGGCTGATAAATCCACCCCCAGAAAATGAATCAACTACTGGTAACTGACTGTTGTCGCTTTTCTCTGTTTTACAGTAGAGGTGGGTGGTCTCTCAAGTATGCAACGCCCAGTGAAAAGGGATTTGGCTATGCAATTTGTTTCATTGTAAAATGTATTTTATCCACCCTTCATCATTGCTTACCATTTCTTCATCAGTTTCCAGGGTAACCTTAAAAATGTCTCCCTGCTCAGTCTGGGCCAGGAAGAAGAACATGGACTTGGTCTTGTGGGTGGCTGAGCAGACAAATATCATGCCCCGCTCCGGGTCATCAAGGTCATTCTGTAAGATGGGAGAGATGAGGAAAAGAGAGCTGAGCAAAAATAAATGCGGAGACAAAAAAGTGACTCAAATCTGATGCACATTTAAAAAAAACAAAAACAAAGGTAAAGCAAGGGCAATGATTCCAAATAAAGAGGAAAACAACATCCTTCCACTTGAAATCATTATACTGGACTACAACATTCCTACTCATTAAATTATAGCTTAAATCCTTTTGTCACATGTTGATGCCATGCTCTTAGCATAAAGCGTTGTTTTTCATTGTGTATTATGTTTAGGACTCACCCTGCGTCGTGGGATGGGACAGCGAATGTCAGGCTGGTCTCCAAAATTCTTGTATGTGATGTAGTTTTCAGAGCAGATCAGAACTCCACTGGGCCCATCTGAACCACCAGGAACTAGACAGAGGGGATATGTTTCTCTTTATATGGACGGTGACTACAGTGAAAACAGCTGGACTACAAAAGCAGGATGGGCTCGGTTTTCCAATCCAAGGTTTCCCTTTACTCCTTTAACTTGCTCTTTAATGTGTCTGACTGTGATAGTAAACCCGTGCTGAGATCAGATATGTTAAATCTTTCTCCAGTGTTAGTCAGAGAAGAGACATGACAAACTCATCACATCTACAACACTTTGTTGTGGGTATTATTAATAATCTAATAAGCTATTCATGTACTGTACATAGTTTCTTCTCAAAAACAAATCAAATCCTAAAAACTTGCATATTCTAGGAGGTCTTTCAGGCTAAATTTAACACTGACAGCTGATTGAACGCCAGTTTTATTATTATTGTTTCATCATGTTCAACCACATGCTTACCAGTGATAAGGAAATTTCCATGCTCCTCCAGAGCCTCACTGTACTTGCGGACCACGTGATTCAAGCCGAGGTCCAGCTCATAAAAGGTGAGCGTCTGTTGCGTGTTGGCGGCAGCTTCTCCTGTCGGGTCATTGTCAGCTTCCTGGAAAGAGCAAATAGCAACATACAGGATGGAGTTGTGTCTTTTTTATTCAATCAGTCCACTGTCAGGCACAGTATAGCTTACTTAACCAACAACTAAAGGGTAAAAAATGTTTACATTGTCAGGATATTCAATATTTCTTACCAATGGTGCTTCAAAATTAAACTCATGTGCTGAGATCAGAGATTTTAAATCTTTCTCCAGTGATAGTCAGAGAAGAGACATGACAAACTCATCACATCTGCAACACAAGTTATGTTAAGGCAGAAACTTGAGTTTTCACGACTTTACCTCGTAGTCCATTTCAAGGCAGGCAAACATGGGATTTTCAAAGCCGACGTCGACTCCAACTACATGGTAGACCAGTGTGTTTGCTTTATGGGCTTCCAGCGGAGATGAGATGGTCAGTCTTGCAGCTGCATCTCTGTTCAGAATGTAAACCAGCTTCTGTTTCTCTATCGCTCCTAGACGGGGTGGGGAGAAAAGGCTTCATTTCATTTAACTTACGTTACTGCAGTTTTTATATACATGGCTGCCCTTTAACTTTTTAACTGTTGCATACAGAATACATAATATACAAGTAATACACTATTTTGAAGGTTGCGCTCAAAGATCCCTGATTATACAGTCTGTTACCAGTTTATTTGGATCACTTACCTAAAACCAATGCAGACTAATATAAAAGATATATTCTACATTAAATACCATTATTTGTATAGGCTGACATTGACAGCCAAAAATATGATTGGAACTGTATATAACATCAAAGTGGGTTGCAAAGAATAAATAATATTAATCTTCAACCCTTTTTGGAGGTCCACATGCCTGTAATTACAAATCAATACATTCTGATGAATTCCTTTTTTGGGAAACCTGTACACTGCAATACAGCAAGTCTAACACAACTGAGCTGTAATTAATATTTATATCTACTGCATTTAAAATGTTTAATTGGGCCGGCACTGCTCATTTACAGTGCAGTTTTGAAATGCAACACATACAGTAAACGGTATCTAAACTATGTATGTAAAATGTGTTGGACACGAGATGTGTGTTCTGCAAGCATTTTAACTTCTATCTGTCTTCTATCTGACAGATACTGACATTTCCTTTTTGGGTCAACTGTATGATTCATACAAACATTTTAACGTGTTGATATTACTTTATACCTATCATAACAGCTCTGCCTTTTGGGTCAACAGCCAGGAACTGTCCGGGGACAATGCGCCGGCAGCCGCTCTTTCCAAACGTTTCCTGGTGGATCTTCTCAAACATGTTTTTTGATGGGTGATATTCCAGGATGACAATACGACCGCTGTCACTTCCAACAACAATGTAGTCTACAAACACACATGAAACATGTATAAATACAAAAAACAAAAAGGTTTTACATGGAGTCAAAGAACGCTGCCTTTTCCCCATACACAGGTTATACACCGTTTCTGTGAGGTCATTAAATTGTGGCTGAACATGTCTGTCCCAAACACAGATGTCAGGTTAGAGGGAAACTTTTCCCCTTCAGTAGAGGAATGTGTAAACAGTGGCTAACACTGCACATGCATCAATCCATGTATATCATGAAAATCGATCATCAAGGGGAAAAATACATTTTTGAATAGTGTCTTTAACTATATAATAAGCCATGTTTGTAGTCGCACACACATGCATGCACCCTTGGCTACGTACCTTTGGTTCCTCCTGTGAGCCTGAACGCCATCAGGGACCTAACGATGCCAAATACCTCCACTGTGAGCAGAGTGTGCACCTTTCCTGTGTTGGCATCTGGACGCAATAATTCCAAGATCTTTCCCCTGGAAACGACAATCTCCTGCATCTTGGTTCCTACCAACATGCAAACATCACTTTTCAGCATGTGTCAGTTTTCAAATGAAAAGAAATGCTGTGTAGGTTTTCTCTCAGAAAGGTGGTTATGGTTCAAGCCCGGCAACTGAAATCCTCATATACTACAGGATTTCTCACCAAAATCTGCTCCCCTTTCACAGAAATAAAATTGTTTTGGAAACCCAGCATCGTTAGTGCATTTGTTACTGTACTTTGTACATGTTATTTTATTTTATGTTAAAATCATCACAATTTAATCTAGCAAATATCAAAAGGAGGACAACCAAATTGAGTATATCATTTTCTGAAAGTTTTTTGGAGTTCAAAAATCAAACTTCAATTACAGCAAGACCTTAAGTTTAAGTAATATTGCCTGCATGCAATCGTTTTGAATCCACCAGAAAATGATACTATACATTTGTTTTGGTATCACATTCAGAGGTGTTGCGTTCTCTCCTGACTGTAGCCAGAGAAAAGCAATCACATGATGAAAACTCATAATCACAACTTGGCATACAAACAAACTAAACACAAATTATGCATTTGTAAAAGACTACAACAGAAATTACAGGCATAGAGAATAAGTACAGAATGCTACCAGGCCAACAGACAGAAGGAGAATTAACTAAACACCATTTTATAAGAAGCAGACAAACGAGTGCATTACATTCATACATTCTGTCCAAAACAACACAATTTTTCCACATATGCACATCTGGAGAAATTCAGGTCTCATGAATGCCATGTGGACAGGAGAAGCCAGGTACTATACCACCAACCCTATAATGAATGGACATCCGGCTCTAAAACCAGCTCTGACCATCCAATCCCCAAGTGGTGGTCTTAAACTCTACTCTTACTGTTGATCAGGAGAAAGGTGACTACTGATGATAACACAGCCAAATAGGAAGGCAAAAGAAGATAGGCATCGATCTCACCTGAGAAGTTTCCATGGATGGCATGAGTGATGCCCGTGGCTCGCTGCAGGGTGATGTTGTACAGAAACATGGCTCCTTTTTTGTGGCTTCCCCACAAGGTTCTTCGGGGGCCGAAAGCAGATTACTTAGCCTAGCTCAAAACTGTCACAGAAATGAACAACAAAGAGGGCTAGGTAAGTACAGTAATATGTCTGTTAATACTGTGAACGGTTTCTTTCCCACAGTCTTTTAATTGGTCCCAGTGTGTAACTGTGAAGACTGTTTAAGAGGGATCCTCAGACTGAACAGAGTATGCACTCTTGAGGAAGTTAGCATTTGTGACCTTCCAAAAACGAATAAACTCCTCGCAGTAAAGCAATCAAGGGTTAGTAGAGGGTTAACATACGTTACTTGCTGGGCACGTAGACTTGTGGTGTTAACGTTACTGTTTATGCCCATGACCGACAAACACTGCTAACGTTAGCTTAGCTACGAGGCGAACTTTATGCTAAGCCTGAGTACCCATTAGTTACTTTGTCTGCTACCGTAGCTCCTTTGTTGCTAATCCAAGGTAACTTCGCGCTACATTACCAATTTCTCACCATGCCATTTGTTGTTGATTAAAAACAGTGCACACAGTTACATCATTTACTTCTTTTCAACGGACGGAGAGCCCATTCATAGAAAGCGCCACTTTTGCCTGACGCACTCCTTTATTTTCTCGCTGTATAACTTAAGTCCGTTCACACTTCACATGCATATAATATCCATTTGATTAGGGAGAACATGTAGATTTGCATAATAACATATTTACCGGCGTCTTAGATAAGATGACTCAGATTTCGGACGGATAAAGTTTTATTTGTACAAACAATTCCCTTGCAAATCCGTCAAGCCAACGATGAGCCGCCGTTTGTGGGTCCTTCGTCAGCCTAAACGCCGTCATGTAAGGTGACCCACAAAATGCCTGACAGAAATCTGAGACACGCTGTAGTGGCGCCGAATCTCCAGCAGATTTCGACAAAGACCTCAAGACCAATACAGAGAAACATGACATAGGATCGTAGGATAGGATGCATGTAGAGTTTTATGTGGCAATTGCTTGTCTGTTTTATGTTATGTCTTTTATGTTTTTTATGTGGTGACATTGCACTTTGAGCTTCTTGCATATTCTTTTCCAATGTGGTTTTATACTGCAAATGGCTAATAAAGTGAATCTGAATCTGATGTGTTTGAAAGCGACTATCTTACTACTGTATATAAATTGTTTGGATATTGTTTTTTCCTTCATTTAATAAGCTTCACCCGTCTGCAATATTAGGAGCCATTCTAACCTCCTATGGTGTTTTCAATTATATCACAATCATTAACAATTTCCATATCTTAACAAATCCTGCTGAGTAACTACATGATAAAATGATATTTTAAATAGCCTACACGTGCTCTTAAAATATGTCAGGTCCAACCGTAACTCAATCTAACACAAGTAAACATACAGTTAAACAAAATGTATGTTAAATTCTACTGATGTCAACAGATGTGTCAAGCATGTGATCAGTTTCATCTTATGGTATTTCCCTCACTGAAAATCTGAACACAATATTACAGTCATTGTGTTTAAGGTATTTATACATTCTTGCATTGTCCCCAAGATATGTTGGAAATGACACTTATGGAGCTAAAATGCAATGAGTCAGTAGTCAGGTAGTTTGATTTACTTACACTAAACTCACTTTATGTGTATGTGTGCGTGCGTGTGCATATGTGCCACATAGGTAAACGCGCACGCCTGTGTGTCACTGTCTGTCTGTCCTCAGGGTGGTGTGGTAGTCATGATGGTGCAAAACAACAATTGACGCTGATGTCTGGAAATAAGCAATGTGCATGCTTTCTCTCTCTCTCTCTCTCTCTCTCTCTCTCTCTCTCTCTCTCTCTCACACACACACACACAGACACAAAAGATATAGTAATCAGGTGGACTATTGAAACACTGGCCTCAATTATGTTTGGATTGGATGCACTCTAAGAAGACTACCAGTCTTTTGACAATACATTAAATCAGCTTTGATGGGTTCTCAGTTTCATGGTCCATTTAATGTGTTGAGTGAACCAGAAAATGAAACTGAGCAGAATTGTTTTGGCAACCAAGTGAGCATTATTGTGTCAACCATTTTTAAACAAAACACTGAAAAACCACTTCTGCAGAAGTGCCATGCTGACCTTGGTGACTGGTGAGGTTTTATGAACATGGTGAGTGTTTCATCCTTTTATTGCGAGTGTATAACACATACTTAGAATATGAGGAAAGAAGTTGCCCGTATGAAGAAAGAAGAACTTGTTTCTCACTCTCATTCTCTTGTTGTCATGTGATTTCTCAGTACGAGATTTGGAGAAAAGCAGAAACACTTTTTCACTCATCACTTTTTGTCAGTACTGGTTGTAAGTGAAGATGTCCTTGTATCACATTTTGAGAGTGTTATGTTTCAGCAAGTCCCTGATAATAGTAATCTACTATTTGTGCATCTATTTTATGCATCAGAAATGCAGACAGGGGGGGACAACATTACCATAACGTGGCCCAGAGATGGATGAACTCGGCCCTGAAAATACGGTGAGAATAAAGTGAGTTCAAGAGGGTTCTTATCCTCATGATTGGTGTGGATCACAAAGGCAGTGGTTAGTTCTTCAGCCAAGTCAATGCAACCCTTAGCCTAATTAGTAAACCCATTAAGAGCATAGGATAGGGAATCAACAAATGTGAATGATTAAATCAATGTTTAAATATTCAAAGTTTCATTGAGGTCTGGACTTCAAATACAAAGTTGAACACCCACAGCCCTTTAGCTATAGTGGGTTTGCTCTTCCAGGGATTCACACAATTGTTACTGTAAAGCTGGAGTTAACTTGATCAAGAGGCTACCTGTGACTTTTATCAAAAAGTAAAAGTAGCAAAGTTAGAGTCATAGAAAATGCAGATTAGAGGAGCATTTATGCATGATGTGCTGTGGGAATGCCCTTATTAGTGGAAGGTCCATAAATGTATTTCTGATTTTTTCAAGTTAAAATGTTTATTCAAATCCTAAACTCTATTTGTTAGGTGACCCACTTATTTAGTGGACTGTGGAGCTCCAGATATGTCAGTCTAGCATATAGGCCAATGGCGAAGAAGCAGGTTTTGTTTAAGAACTGGAAGAGTCATAGTATAATTATAATGTTTGATTGCTGTACGTTTACTGTGTAAGTAGTGTCTTGTTGTTGTATTTTAACCGGTGAAGCACCTTGGTCAACCTTGGTTGTTTATATAAATAAAATTGATACTGATATTGATATTGTTAGTGAACTTTTTTTCAGGAATGGGATATTCAGCTAGGCATACAAAACAAAACTGCCGTTTATATTTGTAGAGAGGGAGAGAGGGCTGGTCATGATGTGACCAAACAGAATTGACATTTGAAGCACATTAGCACTACGAATTGATGTATTGCTGCAACAAAACAGAATGTAGGACAAGTAGGACTTTGTATAGATTTTACTGAAGATCAAAACGATAGGAAATAGCTACTGTATAATATTGCAAGACAGGAATAAAATATGTGTGCATGTATGTATGTATGTATGTATGTATGTATGTATGTATTTACTGTGTGTATGCATGTGTACACGTGCATGCACATGGTAGGTCTATACAGATGGCATTCAGCATAGGCTTATGGTTTCGCAGGTATGATTTTAAAGTATTTAATTCTTTTTTAAAGTAACATCTTTGTACACACTGTAGGTTTAAAAAGAATTTTAATTGTGAAAAGGCACGACAGGAAGTTGTAGACCCTGTGCTAATTGACAGCGGTGGGTACGGGGACCAACCCTCGCAGGAAGATGCCTATGGACGCCGCCTCCTGCCCCTCCTGCCTGCCTCGTCGTTGAGGGCCGTCCCGGGGCTCAGTCCACGGTCTTCTTCTTGTATTGGACGCTGCCTCATCATTCATTCTTGTTAGCGAGCGGGTTAGCGGCATTTAGCCTCCTCATCATCTGCCCCCCCCCACCGCCCCCCGTTGGTCTTGCATAGCTAGATTGAAACCGCTAACGTGTTTTTTCCCCACTCCCCGTTATCCGAGGTTCATTTAAATTCCGTTGCTCGTTTGACTTTGCATCCAGAAAGAGTGGAGGTGGTGGGAAACCCACACATTTCGACTCAGACAACGTGACTGTATGCATGCCATGAGCGACGAGGACCGCTAGTTGCCTGAGATAAGCAGCAGCAGCAGCAGCAGCAGCAGCGGCGGCGAGCAAGGCTAAAAAGGACCGGTTGTTGAAAGCAACGCTGATTTAGTATTTCACCCAAAATACGACCGGCACAGCAAGGTGAGCCTTTGAAAACATTAATGATATGCAGCCAGTTTGTCTGTACACCGGGTGTTTGGGGGCAGAAGCCCGGCTCGGTTAAACCTTGCTGTTGTGGTGGTAAAGATGAAGAGGGAGGCATCGTTCTCCTCCTCCAGTGTCTGCTGCTTCTGTCGGAGGCCATCGGCTCCTCACATCCCCCTCTGCCCGGCCGGAGGGGTTTTGTTGTCGTTGACCTGCTTGACTATGTTCGCCTCTTTTGTCCTCTTTCCCCCACGGGCAACAGTTGGGCGTGGGCACTTGGGCAAACTGTGAGCTCTAACTAAGTTAAATTTGAGTCCCACATTTAATCTGCTACGTGTTTGTTTTAATGTCGGGGGAGAAAAGTTACAGTAAAAAAACGTCTGACATCTACTTTGAAGTCAGATGTTATGTAGGGAGTGAACCCTCCTGTCAGCACCATACTCTTTGTAAAGTATTTCCCTTGAAATGTTGTCAGTGTACAGAAAACAAGAAGCTGTACCTCAAAATGTAGTCTACCAACATTTTGCTCACAAATGACATTAAATATATTGACATGGAGCATGCTTCTTTCTTTCCTCCTCTTTCTCTCCCTCCTCTCTTCCCCAACCTCTCTCTCTTCTTTCAACCATCTTCCTTCAGTCACCTTCCCTGCCCTCTCTGGCCTTTTTATTTTTTTTTTACCTCTCCCCCTCTCCTCACTCCCTGCGCCCCCCTCTCCCTTCTGCTTTTCTTTTTTCACTTGACACCCAGCTGCCCTTCTCGCCACTTCTCTCCACTTCTTCCCCCCTCTTTGTCCTCTCACCCTTCATTTATCTCTCTGTCGGTCTCTTTTCCCCTCCATTGATTTGCCTGGAGGTGTTGCTAAGAGACAACAGCAGTTGGAGTGCCGTGAAGGATAGAGTAGATGGAGGGGCAGCTGCTCTGTAAACAAGGTGAAGCTTGTAAGGGGCTCGTCTCGTCTTTTCTCTTCTCTCTTTTTTGACTATGATTGTTGCAAATGTACTCTAGATAAGATCTGTGGCTCCCTAACATTTAAATGTCAACGCACTTACTTTTTATAAGATTACATCATCCCATATGAGTTTGACTGTGTGGATACATGCTTCCGCAAAATGCACTTAGAGGACTTTGCATAGCAGAGAGAGGGGGTTTCTGGGTAACTAGCTCACAAAGAAGTTGTTGCACAGAATCACATTGTGCCCAGGCCTGGTCCTGTCTGTCAAACAATGCTGGCTGGTTGTGCAAGTGAAATGCTGGACCAATACCCAACGTGGAAGTAAAGCAAAAAAGCCAGTAGCAGATCTGAGCAGCAGTAAAAAACAATCCCAAAAAATTAATTTACAGTGATGATAGAACAGAGAGAAGTAAGAAACAGCTAATTTTTCTTTAAAAAATTACTTAAAGAGGTGGTATTATGCTCATTTTCAGGTTAAAAATCTTATTTAGGGGTTGTACCAGAACAGGTTTACATGGTTTAATTTTCAAAAAAACCCATATTTTCCTCATACTGCACATTGCTGCAGCTCCTGTTTTCACCCTATGTGTTATACGCTCTTGAGCTACAGAGTGATGCATCTTACTTGTACAAAATCTTTGTTGGGAGTTGCACATATGCAGTTCCCAGGTAAGGACTACTAGCCAATCAGAAGCAGAGAAGGGCGGGTCGTAAGAAACAAGGTAGTGTGATCCAAATCAAAGCCACTTCAGACTGCGACCGTAACCTAGCAGATGGAATAAGTTACTCACAAGGCCACAACCACACAACATCATTGTTCCACATCTTACCATAAACCACAAAAAAAAAAAATCACCATATTTCAACTCAGTTTTGTCGATCATATTGCCTGTTGTCGGTGTTCTGATGATCTATGCTGCCTTGCCGAAAAATGCTACCATAGCGCAAATCGATAGACTCAACTCACACACAACTGCCGCGATATAATGTTCAATGCGACACACACACCAGCGATCCACACAGCTTTCTCTTTTTTAAGTTAAAACGTTTTAACATTCCTCAGAATGTAAAGACAGATAAGCGGTATGAAAACCTTCCAGCTGTGTTTTCCTCTGCCGTTGTTGCTGCAGCGGTCTGTGTGACGGCGGGAGCAGAGGGCTCTGTGAGCGGCCATTTTTTATTTTTATCAATTAATTGACTAACTGTTTCATCCCTATTGTGAAATGTACTTTACTTTCTAAGATAGTGTAATGAGGGAGGATGCATATCTCAGACAGTAACCAGACCCCGTGTATTCATGAGTTTTCCTGCACCTTTGACACAGTACAACTGTGTGCCCTGACAGCTCCTCCTTGATCATTGATTTAGTGTATTTGTAATAGGCTACAACATGCCAAAGTCAGACTAACCAGTGACAATAGGCTAGAATAGTTCATGTGCACATCCACAAAACCTCACTGATTGAGGAAATAAGTTTTCAGGACGTTTACGGGAAAACGTTTCTATTGCATTCTTGATAACCATTGAACTCACTGTACTCTATGCTGATGACATGGCTAGAGAAACAATGACTATCAGACGTAACTTCCCTTTACAGGTGTGTTAAATGTGTACCTGCCTTAAATTAAAAGTCAGTATATTAGCTAGCACCTCTCTCATCTTTTCTCTCTTCTTATCCCATATATATTTTAAGAAGAGCACAACAACACTTCTAAGAAAACCCAGGGGCTTAAACGTAAGCAGGAACATTCTCACGCTAGCTTAGTGAGAACTGTCTCAACCTTTAACCTAAACCTAGCCTCCTGGTATAATCATCTAACTGTTAAAAATAAACAGAAACGTCTGTCACCCAGGGAAGTAAAATCACAGGCAACAGCAACCCTCAATATCTCAGCTCTGTGTTACTGTTGTGCAGAGCGGTGGAGAAGCTCTTGTAGGACACACCTCACCCCCACCACTCTTTCTATGATCTACCTCCCCCCGAATGAAGGCTCCAAGCCCCACAGGCTAAAAACCACTGCTCGCATATTGTAAATCTTCTAATAATAATGTCACTTTTGGGACCTCATTTTTGTAACTATTTTTTGATTAGGTTCTGTGGTAATGAATGCAGAGGTTGCCACACAACATGTGTATCCACTGCATTGAGCACAATGCTCAATTTTCCATTCTGGATTTTTCCTGGCTTTAAAAGAAGCTTAGATGCTGCGGCAACAAAGCATGCCTGGCTTTGTAATCATGGCCAATATAACACCTAAACCCCTTCTATTGTCATTTATGCGTGTACAGACACTGTGTTTTTGCATAGGCTAACATAACCCTGTCCTAGTTGAGGCAGTCCTCAGCCATATTTCCTACTCTAAGCTGGCCAGAACAGACCATTATGTTTGTCAGAAGTCATTTCTTTAAATCCACTCTCCCTAAATCATAATTTTGATGTGAAACTCACAATCTGCCCTTTGTGGAGGGAACATTGGTGGCCTTGAAGCTACCCCTAACCCCCACACCAACATTAAAACTGGAAAGCCATGCTAAATGTGTTTAGTCACACTATTGACAACTATTTATGCAGTTAAGATATACACATGCTTACAGAATGGTATAAATCAGCAAAAACATCTGCATACATATTTGAAAAACTAGATGTAAACAACTGATGTACCAAGTAGTCTCATTTATAATTCTTTATGTTTAATATTTAACATTTGAAGATTTTTTTGCACAAACTAGGCACAGCACAAACACAGAGTTTGTGATGTGCCTGTATGTACACACTTTGATGTGACTAATGAATCACTGCACATGATTTATCCTCAGACCAGATTACATTTCATGTTGTTAGAACAATCTTTGACAAGCTAACATGTAGGTAGAACAATAATGCTTTTAATGTATCAATGGCAGCAACATTTAAAAGGGCCTGCACATAAATGTGCCGCACCACTATTAGAAAGCCATGCTAGCAGTGTGGTTCTCGGTCTGTCAGTCGGCCGGTCTACCATACTACTTGTTTCAATCTGGTATTTGAGTCTGGACCAGGTCCAGATGGACTGCCATTATATTTGGCACAGATATTCATGGAACCCAGAGGATGAATTGTAATAATGTTGGCACCATTATCAGGTCAAAATAGTAATTGTTTCAATACTTTAGTTTTTTCAGGTATTGGGGGAAAAAAACAATGACAGCCACAGCTATACTTTGTGTTTGGCACTACTTGTGCCAAATGTTAGCATGCCAATATTTGCTAAACTAACATTGTAAATAATCTACAACTTCGCATTAAATTCAAATTAGCTTTATTGGCATGAATGTATAGCAACAATATTGCCAAGTACATTATCATTGTGAGCTTTTTTGCATGCTGACATTAGCATTTATCTCAATGCAACGCTGCGCCTCACAGAGCAACTAGCGTGGCTGTATACTCTTGTTTTGAGGATATGAAATTTTAAAAAAGTGGTGGTCAATGTTAAATTTGAAGACAAGATATATAATACCTATTCACATACGAGAACATCAGATGTTCTCTCCAAATTGAGACAGGTGCTCTATTGTGCAAAAAAGTAATCCTGTTTTTTAAGAGCAACTTTAAAGTTGCTAAGCATGCAAGTCAATTTTTTATGAGTTGAACTCTACTTATGTGTAGACAATATAATCAAAAACATAAGCATATGCTTTTTTACATATTAACAATCTAATACAACCTGCAGATCTTCAATACACAAACAGCGGGGCAAGGCTCAAGCTTAGAATGTGCCACAGGACATAAGACATCAGCTTACAGACTAAGCTCAGTGCCAAGGCGTTGCTAATAGGATTCTTTCCTTTAAAACTATGGTGTGTGTGTACACACATATACACACACTCCTCATTATACCCTTCGTACATTCTGAGAACAGATTTGAAATGTAAATCCCTTCTGTAGAATGCCATGAGCCTTCTCAGGGTCTCTGACCAGCCAACCACGGCAGTGCCCGCAGAGTCCGCCCACAGCAAACTAACTGTTAAAGTGTTGCACCTCTGAACACAGATGCTATAT